CTAGTGCTAGGTTCAAAAACATGCACTTAGGATTAAAGAATTCAGGATTTCACAGCACAAAAATTGGTTTTGAAAACCAAAACAAAATAAATCTCACTGTTCTTTTGCACCATATTCTAGTAGTAATCATTGGGTGTTGTTGTTGTTGTTGTTGTTGTTAATTCTTCTTAGTCCCCTTCCACACAGCTGAATAAAATCCCACATTATCTGCTTTGAACTGGGATATATGACAGTGTGGACTCAGATAACCCAGTTCAAAGCAGATATTTTAAGGTATTTTTTGCCTTGATATTCTGGGTGATATGACTGTTTGGAAGGACCCTTATTCTCTTCTCCATATATTGAAATGTGGAACAACAACAGATTAAATTGCCACACATTTCATCCATTAAAAATGCATAAACCAATTACATCTTGGTATTCACTAAGTTTCATTTACACTTTGAAATAAACAAATATTTGCTAGTGCCACCTATTACCATTAAAATATTGTTACACCAAGTTAAAGGAAAAATTGACCCAAAACAGTGACAACACCCCTCTCTGAATGCTGATTGTTCTAGTGTACAAAAATGTGGAGGATGTCACCCTTGCTGCTCTTTAGTTACTTATTAATGTATTTGAATTTCATCCTGAAGGCAGGTGGCTTACAGTAAAATTAATAAAACTCCCAACAATTGTTTTAACAGATCAAAATATATAAATTATGTATCAGTTTAAAATGCTAGCTGCTGTTCAGCACTGCAGTCACACATTCATAACCCAGAGTTACAGATCCATAACTGATCTGTAGTCAGTAAACCTACACAGCCTTGCTGTTAACCTACAGAAATGCCACCCCAGCCCACCTTAAGAGCCAATCATTGGATTGGACAAAGGAGGCCCATTCAGCTTCTGATTTAGGTGGAAGAAGGATGTAACAAACAGGAGCAAAACCCCTGCCATACACCCTTGCCACGGCCTCACATGCTGAAGATGGAAACACCCAGCTCCCTGTGACTCGGTCAGAAGCTGAATAGAACTCTTTCACTCTGACTGGTCAGGAATATTACTCAGTTATGCAGATTATGCAGCCAGTCTAGCATTCAGACACAATTTAAAGCCAGTTAAAACTATTTAAAATAGTATCGACCATAGTGTTTGCACAGCCTGGATAAAATCAATTAGACCTGAAACTTTTAATGAAAGCTCTGAAAGACACTAGCATTGACACTAATTGATCCTCCAATAGGGGAGTATTCCACAACCGGGGTGCCTCAGCAGAGAAGATCCTTTTCAATATCCGTCATACCTTGCTGGTGGGACAGAAGTGGACCCTTCCAATAGAGCTTGATTCTTGAGGAGGCATACATAGAGTGATGCACTTTCTGGAGCATCAAAAACCCAAGCCAAATATGCAATTTGGTTAAAAGTCAACTCATATATTTACGTTTGGGAGCAAATGAAATCCAGCAATTTGAAGTGTTTGATGGATCAGAATTCTCATTCAGATTTTCTGCCTCCCCAAATTGTAAAGGGTGAAAGGAACCCAAGACTTGAGTACACAGATAGTTTCTAACTGTGATCAGACTTATGCTGACAGACAGTATAGCTGTTGAGTAGTTGTGAGTTTTCCAGGCTGTATGGCCATGTTCCAGAAGCATTCTGTCCTGATGTTCCATCCATATCTATGGCAGACCTCACAACATCTGAGGATGCCTGCCATAGATGTGGATGAAACTTCAAGAGAGAATGCTTCTGGAACATAGTCATACAGCCCAGAAAACTCACAGGAACCCAGTGATTTCGGCCTTGAAAGCCTTTGACGACACAGTATAGCTGTTATATAAGACACGTTATAATTGAGCGTACAACAATAGATGTTATAATAATTTAACAGCAAAGATAGAGCAAATTGATTTAAACTTGAAGGAAAAATCATTTTAAGTCTTATTTTTCATAAAGTGTTGGAAAAAGAAATAGTTTGTCCTCAGTATTGTGGCCTTCAGAAGAAATACAAGGCATAGCACATTAGGTTTTCATTTGTGTTATGTCAAGTCTCATTGGGTGGCAAAATTTACATCCTGCGGTTAAAACTTTCATTATGTATACACATGTGCGTCCATTCAGAAGTAAGATCCAATAAATTTTATTGGGCTTATTCCCAGGCAAATACATGTAGGATAGTAATATAGGTTAATAAATCAATGTTAGATGCTGAAATGTGATAAAACAGAAATTGCCAAACAGTGTTTCATAAGTGATATTATATCCATGAATTACAGTAGTTTACATCTTCTAGTCTTTTCTTCACTCACTGAAACAAATTTTACAATCCACAAAAGATGATACTTTCATTGTTGACCAACCAAAACTGAGAATAACTTTTAAACCATCCATAAGAACAAATGTAGAAAGATGTGTGGCACGTCATTGGAGATAGCTGCTTTGACAATATGAAAATGTTGACAAACCATTATTGTAATCCAAGCCAGGTTTCACTTAGGAAAAAATATGTTAGAAATTACAAGCATGGTTTCTCCAGGTTCAACCAGTGGGTTTACATGAGTTTTGACATGTAAATCATATTCACTATGATGATTCAGGGTGGGGGGGGGGGGGGTGAGGGAGAGGTTGGGGAGATCAAGAGATGTGATGAAACCAATATTGATTTCTATTATTTCAGATTTTTCATCTTTCAATGAGCAAAATATATTGTTGTATGCCTTCAAATCATTTCTGATTTATGGCAACTTTAAGACGAACTTATTATAGGGTTTTCCTGGCAAGATTTATTCACAAAGGATTGTCCTAGTCCAGCACCCAAACCACTACTCCACATATGCTTCCATGCATTTCTGCTGTAGGTTGAACTAAATGCATGGAGGAACAAGTTGGATACATAATAGAAGTCCTTAAATCTCACTCAATGTAATTCAAACTGAAGCAGCCCAGCTCTGCACAAGATTGTTCCTTTTGATCTGGCAGCATTACATAGAATGCTAAAATTATGCATCAACCCATTCATTGTAAATGAGATGCAACCATAAGCAAGTCTTTCCTTGGTAAATCCCATTTATATGATCAAGGCTGGCATTACTTTAGTGGGGCTGGCACAGGTATATTGACTACTGGATTATGTCTACAATTTGGAGAATATCTCTTGTAAGACAACTCTTGAGTTCAAATTGTAAGAGAATTGCACACCTTGGAAAACTAAAACCTCTGCAGTGAAAACCAAGACATCGGCAAGACATCTACAGATTAAAGCCTTATTGGGAGTCAGATCACTGAGGGCTTATTCACAGCTCCCCTCTAAATATTCGGTCAAGAGCTTATCCCTCATGATCCTGTACATCTCAGAATTGGAATCTAGGCTGTCATGCATGCATGGCATTTGAGCTGTCTTGTTGTCACAACTTCTTCCCTTTTCTCAATAAGTCAGTGGTTCCCAACCTTTGGTCCTCCGGGTGTTTTGGACTTCAACTTCAAGAAATCCCAGCCAATTTACCAGCTATTAGGTATTGTGGGACCTGAGATCCAAAACACCTGAAGGACCAAAGGCTGGCAATCACTGTGATAAGTAGTAGCTTAGAATCTCTGTTTGTACAGTTAGAGAATGGAGGGCCAAATGTAATTAAATTGTTGGACTAGGATTGGAGAAATCCAGGTTCAGATCTTCACTGAGCCCTGAAACTAACAGGTCGAACTTCAGCCAATCCAACTCTCTGTTTCTAACCTACCTCACAGCACTCTGATGATGATGATGATGATTATGCTAAATTTATTACCTTCCTTTCTCTGTGGCTCAGGCCAGGGCACAAGACATTGTAAGAATTAAAATACTATTCAAACACAGGCAACAAGGTACACAAAATTAACATGCAAGTTAGACTCCACTGATAAAATACACATTAAAATTCACAATTTACGATGGATTGGGTAGGCCTGCCAGAAGAGATAGGTTATCTTAAATTCCAACAGCTGGCTTAGCTTTGGAAGCTTTTCCAGCAGGTCATTCCACCTCTCAGTGATGATCACCAGTCAGGTTTTGGCTGGTTGGAGTAACCGCCCCACAGAGGACCCAAGTGTTCAGGGTGAATTGTACGGGAGGAGGCAATTCTGTACGTAACCTAGGCTCAAATGATGCAAGGCTCTAAAGGTCAAAACCAACACTTTGTACTTTGTCTGGAAACTAATTGGCAAACAGTGGAGTAGCTTTAGTATAGGTAGAATATGCTCACTCCTAGATGTTCCTGTAACTAGTCTGGCTGCCATGTTAAGAACTAATTAGAGTTTCCAAACTTGGTACAGAGGTAACCCAATGTAAAGTGCACGCAGAAGTGCAACCTTGGGGTTAGCAGTGTGTGCACTACCATCTTTAGGATCTCCAATTCTAAGAAGGGGCACAGTTGGCCTATCAGCCGAAGCTGGTAGTAAGTACTCCTGACGACCATATGTATCTGGGCTGATATAAGAAAAAAATGAGGAGGACCTTGAAGAAAAATTAAGATAGAACCATCATAAATTAATAAATACTTCTGAATCATTGTCTGAGAAAGTTGTCCCTGAAGTTTGGGTCGGCAAATGTCTGTTGTGGCTTTCCTAATGCCCAAACTGTGGTAGTAGCCCTGTTTGAGAGAAATTGCCAAGAGACATTTCTGTTAATGGGGCTGTGTTTTTGACCACTGAAACAAATAAAGTCAACAAATCAGCACAGAGGCCTCAAAATTTACCTGGTAGAGATGGAAAATAATTTAGATCTCCAGATATTGTTTGAGTGTGGTGTACATCATCTATCTCCAAGGGCCATGCTTTTTAGCATGCTGGAATTTCAGCTCAACATCTCGAGGGCCACATGTCTTTCTATTTCTGTCATTCTTTGTTGATTTAATTATCCAACATGAGAGGGATACCAGAAGAGCAAACATAAAATTCTCATTCTCTTTTCTTTATTTGTCAGAAGAGGCATGTCATGTCTGTGAAACCAAGCTTACTTGTTGACTTGCCTTTTTCCACAGTTGGATTACGACCGGGCCCAGATGGTAGTAAGTCCACCATTGTCTGGATCAGACACTTACCCTCGAGGGCCAACAAAGCTACCTCAGAGCCAGAGCAAAGCCAGCTATTCTGGTAGCAGCTACCAGTATCCAGCCGTCTATCACAAATTCTCTCAGTACCATCACCAGCAGCCTTCTCTGCCATCCAGTTCTCATTATGTTTCCACCGCTTCTTACCCCAGCTCCCCGAGCATCACCTCAGGCGCTTACCCTCCACCCAGCTGGGGCTCCTCCTCAGACCAGCAGACCTCCCGGGTGTCTCATGAGCAGTTCCGAGCTGCACTGCAGCTGGTGGTAAGCCCCGGGGACCCCCGAGAGTACTTGGACAACTTCATCAAAATTGGGGAAGGCTCCACTGGTATTGTTTGCATTGCCACAGAGAAGCATACCGGGAAGCAAGTAGCTGTGAAGAAAATGGACCTCCGGAAGCAGCAGAGGCGGGAGTTGCTCTTCAATGAGGTAAGAGCCATTCAGGATCTAATCAGATGGGATGTTTTTGTGTGTGTGCTACCATCCCATTAACTATAGCTAGACTTAACTACGCCATTCAACTCTGAAATTTGAGGAGCATTTTTAGTCTTCTTAAATGTCTTAAATGCAAACTCCATGCTCAAAAAATGTCAGGTGCCTTTCAATGAGTTATGTGGTTCCTTGCATCTTCATTTCAGCTTCACAAAAATGCTGTGAAGTAGGACAAGATGAGAAAGAACCATTGGCTCAAGGCAACCCCTTGAGTTCAGTAAAGACTTTAACCACGGCACAGGCATGTAGTCGGGGGGGGGGGGGGGGCTTGAGGGGCTTCAGCCCCCCCGAAATTCTCATGGTGGTTCGCAAAAAGGCCTTACTGGTGCATTATTTAAACTGTTATATTTATTCATATCATGATCTGATCACCATACTCAATATATCCCATATGCATGGGGGTATTGGGGTAATGATACAAAAGGTTTGCTAGGCTAGACCCTCTTTCACTCAGACTCAGCCCCCCCCCCCCCACGAAACTCAGCCCCGCCCCCCAAAACCCCCCATGAAAAAAAATTACATAGTACGGTCTAAATGAAGAGTGCTGCCATTCTGGGAGAGGTGTCCCCTCACACAACCTGCAGGTTGTAGCTACTAGTAAACCACCTAAATTCAATGCCTTTGAGAACAACTTAATTTATTATTTATTTATTTACCATATTTATACCCTGCTCTTCTCACCCTGAAAGGGACTCAGAGCGGCTTACAAGTAGACAATTCAATGACGCATAAACAGACAAACAAATAAAATACATATACATTTAAAACAGAAAGTTAAAAAATCTAAACATTAAAAGCAATAAAAATCACACAATCCAAAACCATAGTCCAGGAGCCGTTCCAGAAGTCCAGAAGCCATTAAGGAGCCAACTTAACAACTGAATAAAAGTTTAAGGCCTCAATCACTTGGCCACCATAGCTTATATGTGAATTGCATTCCTACTAAAAAGGCAAGAAAAATCCAAACAACTCAAAATTCAAAGTGATTAAGAATGAAAGCTTAATTTTGGCTATTGTTCTTAAGACAGCAAGTGTGTGAATTTAATTTGCAATTTCAAAGGGGATCATTTGTCACAGAATTTTATTTCTTTGCCAGGCTCAAAATAACAGACTTTACTCCTGCTTTGCATATACCGAGGTTGTCGAGCTTCATCCAGTGTCAGACATGATTTTCTGTTGCAGGCTTCTTTTTTAAATTTATTTTTAATATTTATACTTTGTGTCTAGGTAGTCTTCTGCTGAGTACTTCAATAAATAAAATAATATACATAAAATTGAAAAACATTTTTTTTACATTTTATATTTTATATTGTGCTAAAAAATAAAACCACAATATAAAACCTCGGAGTCCACTGTGAAACAGAAACAAATTCAGTATTCAGGACCTTTGAATCTGCTTCAAAAAAAAAGGATGGTTTATATCTGGCTTCTCTGGCTTTAAAACTGGCTTCTCTGGCTTGAGCCAGAAGCGGGAAAAGCAAACAGAGGAAATTCATCCTTCTCTGGTTCAAAACTGGCTTCTCTGGCTTGAGCCGAGGCCAGAAACCAGAAGCGGGGGGGGGGGGGGAAGCCGAATCATTTTCGACTCCCTGAGTTGGAAGAAAAATGGCGAGACTACCTTAGGAAGGGCAAAGAGACCGGTTTACTAAAAAAGTTCAAAATAGGTAATTTTTCCAAATTTATTCCGAATTACGAAGATTCCGATAGTACCTAACCATGCCTAATAGTTAATGTGTAATCAGAAATCCATTGTAGCTCCCAATTTCATTTTGGTTACAAATTGTGCTTAGGAGCAAACATCAGGTGCTAATATAGTGATGTGGTTTGAGCACTGGACTTTGGCTCTGGAGACCTGGGTCTAGGGGCCTCATCAGATGGGATGAATTCAGCATCCTAATATGTTTTCACCCCATCTAGAGGCTGGAGCCCCACACCAGACATCACATGATGTTGTGAGAGTTCCAGCGGCAGCTCTGCCCCCAACTGGGTGAAAGTGTCACTGAACGCTTTCTTACCAACATGGGAGGCATTCCGTGTTTGCTGGCTCCAATGGAGGGAGCATGTGGCCTCTCCACAACGTTGATGCTTTCCCCCATGTGATTGGGAAAGCATCACAGAGAGGGAGCTACACACAGTGTGACAAATTCGCCCCGTTGCTCCATCTTTCCTCCCAGATGCCAGGTTAAGTGGGACACAAATGCAGCATTTCCATTCAGTTTTAATGACAGTATTAAACACTAACATTGCTTCAGGAAAAGCAATTTCCAATAGCACAGTTAAATGCATCCTGTTCCTTTTTCCTCCTGAAATGGTAAGGAGGCTGGAAAACATTCTTGAATCAGGTTTCAGGACTAGAGGAAGGTGCAATGGGTAAAGGCAGAAAATCCTGACTTTACTATCACTGGTGTTACATCTAATTTAGACCACAAAAGCCAGCTGGATTGAAAGCTAGAATTTAACATTAAGAATGGGAGATATTTCTCTATTAGATCTTAGGGAAGTAGATTCATTTGGAAGCTAACCATGGTCAGCCCTGGTTAGTACTTGAATGGAAAACCGTCAACAAATACCATGTGCTATTGGCTATATTTCAGAAAAAGGAACTGGCAAAACCATTACTATCTCTTGTTAAGGGCTCTTCCACACAGCCATGTAACCCAGAATATCAAGGCAGAAAAACCCTGCTTTGAACTGGGTTATCTGAGTCCACACTGCCATATATCCCAGTTCAAAGCTGAAATTGTGGGGTTTTATTCAGCTGTGTGGAAGAGACCCAAGACAACCCTGTGAAATTCATGGGGTTACTAGAAGTCAACAGGTGACTTGTAGACAGACACACACAGGACAAGAAGTGTCTGTCCTCCAACATAGGAGAATAGCATTTGTCACCTGAATATGTTGCACATTTCTTTCTAACAATACGTTTAGGTTGATGTGCAATTTTGTGCATAAATGTATTGTGCATAAATCCCACACCATTTTGTTCAACAAACCTAGGCATGTTTCATTGTGGAAATAGTATCCATTTTCTGGGGAAAAAAAGGGGGAATTTGCAGGATTCACGACATACAAACAACTAGTGTGTATTTCTGAACAGAATAAGTGACGAAATACTTTGGGGAGTGCACACACTGGTTGAAAACCAAACAATATTCTTATCCGTGTCTTCCCTATTGGGTGATCCAGGTAGCTAGGAACTAAATAATGGGAAATAATGCTTCCATCCCTGGCCTGAGATAAAAAGATGTTGTCCCCTCTCGATTCTAACACTGGTAATGGCCTAATGTCCCAGAACACACCAGAAAGGAAGAGAACGATTTTGACAGCCAGTCATATCCAAGAGAAAATAACTGCACATACTCACCTCACTATCTACTGGGTAAAGAAATTATTTCATTCTACCTGACGATATCACCGATATCACACTTTTTTCATCCTTCCCTATTCTTCTTAGCATTGAACAAAAAGGGATTGCAGCAGTGTTCCTCACACCTGTTAAATTATATCTGCCTCCATCTCCAGTTCTTCCTGTTGGCAGCAAGGAACCCTTTGTATTGTCCTAGCCCAGAGCACCATACTTGTTAAACTGAATGGAGTTCAGCTTCGTTTCTGGTGTAGGTCTTCCTTGACCATACTTAAACTCTGATTTCATCCAAGGATCCACAAACACGTTCTTCTTATTCAGGCTTATTCTAATGTCAGTACTTCAAAACAGTATGTGAGTCTGATGTGGGTGTGTGGGTGTCTATGTTGTGTATGTACAAGGGGGAAAGGTCCATATAATTTGGCACATTCTAATAAAGAATCCATAACGAAATGATTTATTTGTGGCTTTTGTTCACTTCACAGGTTGTAATAATGAGAGACTACCATCATGAAAATGTGGTTGACATGTACAACAGTTACCTTGTGGGGGATGAGCTGTGGGTTGTGATGGAGTTTCTGGAAGGTGGTGCTTTGACAGACATCGTGACTCATACAAGGTGAGCTTGGTTAGTGTGCTGTGGACACCTTTGAAGACAAATGCCTCCTTCTAGTAATTCAACTGTTTGCTGATCTTCATGGCATTTAGGGTTTCCAAATTCTTTCCAGCCGGAATGCATATCTTTTCTCTTATGGGAATGAAGTAAACCCTTATACAGGGAAGTGCCAGGGATACATCTGAGTGCCTACACAACTATAGATGATGGTGGAGGTGATGAACTGGTGGGAAGAAAAAGAAAAAGTATTAATTATAAAGTCATTCTATTATGAGCGGTAACAAAGGAAGAACAGGTGGAGGAGTGAGTGCACATCCTCACAACAAATTCCTGGTAATTCCCTCCACTGTTTCTATGGTAACTTAGAAATTCACTAAATTTATTAAACTAGTGCCAGCATTTAGAAGATATTGAAGACAGGATGCTTGTTAACGCGCCAGGTAATATTGCCAAAGTGCAATGTTCTTGTGCTGCTGCAGACAATTATTTTACATCTGAAATTTCTGAAAATTATTATGCTAGAGCCAACAGGTACTTACAGACATGACAAAAAAGTGTAGCATCAATTTACTTTAAATACATGCAACAAGCAAAACTCAGAATAACAATACAGAAAGCCTCAAGACCAACATATGTTATAGTTATAAAACTTGCATTTTACTAGACCACCCAATTAAACCTCAACTCATGTGTTAAGTCTAACAATCATATTTTAAGACTTTCTTCAGTCCAATTTACTTTCCATTGAAAATCTCACAGGCTATGCCTTATATGTGCTCCATACAAACTATGACTACAGGCATGCTAGTTGGAGCATTCTAGGTTTTGTAGTTTCAAAATGGCCTACGTATTTTAAGGAAGCTAAGTTGGAAGCTAAGTAGGATCAGTCCTGTTTAATATTTGAATGGCAGACGGTCAAGTAATAACAGATACTATAAACTACATTTCCAAAGAGGGAACTAGCAAAACGACTTTTGAGTACTCCTTGCTATGAAGTTCATTAGATCACCATAATTGAACAGGAAACTTTGGGGGAATGTATTCGTAGTTCAAAAAATAACTTTTCCTGAGCTGTTAAATCCGCATGACATAAATGAAAGCTGTAGGTGCAAAGCACTATGGTACTCTCAATAGGTTAGGCATTTCCATTCACAGTTAGCATAGCTAATGATGCATGTGCTAGCCTTAAATGGACAGTAGAACAACAAACAAAGCTATAGTACTTTGTGTAAATTTTGGAAGAACCAAAAAGTGACAGTTGATAGATTCTCCATTAGGATGTCTTAACATGTGGACCCATCCTTTCTCATGGCAGAGAAGAAAACTCGTGCATGTGCTTCATGTTCCTGCTATACACACATCTGTTTCAGAAAAAAGGTCCACTAGATTTAGTAGGCTTTACTTTTGAATAGGCAACAGCTTGTCTGCATGAGCTCAAAAACTCAGACTAACTCCATAGGGGCTGCTGGTTGTTCTCATAATGCACAGTGGCTTCTGATGAATATCATGGGGTTTTTGGGAGGTCGGTTAGCTTTAAACTGACTTTGCCAACTCTACTGGACAACTGGATTGGGTCTGACTTGGCCCACTGTGTTCTCCAGACTGGGTATTGCTGCTATCACCCTTTCCTTGTGCTCATCAGAAATGTTTTCCTCCTGCACCTCATTTACCAATAGAACAGACCTCCATGGTTTGGAGAAGCTGTTGGCTGGGGCTGGGTGAGCTTAGACCCAGAGATGTTACCTAGCTATGCATGCAAAACTAAGGAAATGATAAAATAATAATAATAATAATAATAATAATAATAATAATAATACTTTATTTATATTCCTCTCTATTTCCCCAAAGGATTCCAAACATAAAAGGCAAACATTAAGTGCCCGAGTACAACAACAGTACATCCATACTAACAAATTATACAACCGAACATATAAATACGAGTTATAACTTAACAAACTAAAATTAAATAAAAAGCACAGCCTGTTATAATCGATATAAGGCAAAACATCAAATGGAAACAATAATTTCCCATTTCTTTGGGGCAAATTGATTAATCATTGCTCAAGATATCTATTGAGCTGGTGGGGTGAGCAGGGTATGGATACGGATGGCAACTATTAATCAGAGGTATAATGGTAGTATTACCAACTACTATTCCTCCTCCTCATAAGCCAGTGAGCAAAGATATGTCCTCAGCTGTTTTTTGAAAGCGGGGAGGGAGGGAGCCATCTTTAACCCCTTAGTAAGGGAATTCCAGAGGTGGGGGGCAGTCACGGAGAAGGCCCTTTCTCCGTGACTGCCAGCCGTGCTTGGGACGGGGGTGGAACTGAGAGGAGGACCTCCTCTGATGACAGCAGTGTCTGAGTTGGTCTGCAGAGGGATATGCGGTTTTTCAAATAGTCTGGACCTAAGCCATTTAGGGCTTTAAAGATAAGAACCAGCACTTTGTATTTAGCTCAGAAGCAGACTGGCAGCCAGTGGAGCTGCTGCAACATGGGAGTGGTTCTCTCCCTGAACGGCACTCCAGTTAGTAACCTGGCTACTAATCTCTGGACCATTTGAAGTTTCTGAACTATCTTCAAAGGCAGCCCCATGTAGAGAGCATTGCAGTACTCCAAACGGAATGTGTCTAAGGCATGGACTAACATGGCCAAGTCAGGCATCTCAAGGTATATATGGACCTATATTTCTCCAGCTTTCAGTATTTCACATCATTGGTATATACTCTGTCTATAAGACTTGTAAGAATTCTGTCTTGCGTATCTCTCAGCTTCCAGCCTGTGGAGGATTTCTGTCTAATTTGTACATTTGCGCACTGAATTTTGTACACTCATTAATTCTAAAATAGGCCATTATCTCTTTTATTTTGTGACTTTTCTTCATGGACTCGTGGCTATTTTTAAGAACTGCTGCAGCCCACATACTATAAATTCCCATCATTTTCATTAAGCACTATTTTCTGTAATGCTAGTCACCATGCCAAATATTTTGACAGCCATTTAATTGCAAACAGATGATTCCAGAAAACTCTTTCTTAAATGCTGTCATTAGGGTTGGATTCATTAGACTTCTTAATCATCATTCAAGCATTTTATGACCTTTTTTAAAGACTACCCAAAGTATTTCCAGAATTTACATAAATAGTATAAGTCACAAGAAGAATGTTGATGGCACTGGAAGGGTTTGTCAAACACTAAAGCGCAATAGTAAGGTAAAGGTAAAGGTAGTCCCCTGACATTAAGTCCAGTCATGTCTGACTCTGGGGTGTGGTGCTCATCTCCATTTCTAAGCCGAAGAGCCAGCGTTGTCCGTAGACACCTCCAAGGTCATGCAAAGTGCCTAAATCAGAAGCTGTTGGATAGCTTCGGATGTGTCTGTACCAACCACTTTAACTGAGGCCAGTCCAGATTATTATGTTTTGAATTGACCCCATATTGACCATTATGGTGGTCCAGCGCACCAGGGCAAACATATTTTGGTGTTATGTAGATGTCAATGATCCCACTGGGCTGTCCGCTTGTCCACATGTTACCACTGCCACTCCTCACCAGTCACTGAATTCCCTGCAAGTATCTGGCTGCCACCTATCATATCTGCTGAGGTTGTTTCCTTATACTGAGACAACTGGCCCTCCTTGCCCACTGCTGTCAACATAGGTTTGCAATTGTTTTAAACAAGGGATCAACCCTTCCCAGAGAGGCCAGGGATTCAAAGTAGCCCTTTGTTATGCTCTGCCATTGAGCTATGCCTCATCTTACATCTTCAGGACTGCTTGGTGTCATGTCACCGTAGGTTTTTCATCTTGATCACATTATAGTTATTTAATTCAGTCTGCTAGTAAACTTTTGGGGTAGGCCACTGTGTGCACTTCCAGTTTATTTATTATTTATTTATTTACTTCATTTATATACCACTTTTCTCAGCCCTCAGGCGACTCAAAGAGGTTAACAACAGCAAAATTCAATGCAAAAACATCACAAAACAAATATAGGACAGTTAAAAACACTAGCATCATCAGCGATTAAACATCAATATAACAATCATTGGCATCTCATCAGTAAAATCAGAATCCAATCTCATCATCCATAATTCTGTATTCCTATATTCAATTACACTGCTTAATCGAATGCTGGTTCGAACAGCCAGGACTTCACTTTCCTCCAAAACGCCAACAGGGAGGGGGCCGATCTGATATCTGTAGGAAGGGCGTTCCACAGATGAGGGGCCACCACTGAGAAGGCCCTGTCTCTCGTCCCCGCCAGGCGCGCCTGTGATGCAGGCGGGACCAAGAGCAGGGCCTCCCCAGATGATCTTAATGTCCTAGTTGGTTCATAGGAGGAGATGTGTTCGGAGATGTAAGTAGGGCCAGAACCATTTAGGGCTCCACTCTGGTAACAGTACAGATACCTACTAGGGACTTATCTTCTTGCATTTGTTCCATTGGTATTTCTCTATTGCTTATGCAGTCCCCAAAGGGGATAGTAAAGTGATCCTCTGAGAATTTTCAGCCTCAATGAATCTAAACTATAAAAATGGATTGGGGCTAACTTTGTTTGCATAACTACAAAAAAAAACCTTGGGAAGTGGGATATAAATTGGAAGGGAAATCATTAAACATAAAAATAAAGCAAAGGCAGGAAAAACAGGCAACAGTGTCGCTTTTCTTTACTACATTATCTTTAGTCTAAATCTAATCATTAATCTTGATTACAGTGAATTCATTGAATCAATGGAAACTCAGTAAACCAATATTTATGTACGTTCCAATGGTCTATGATATTGGCCACGGACTACGATATTGGATTGCGTGATTTTAAATAATTGGTTTTAAGGGTTTGTTTATTTATTTATTTACAGTATTTATATTCCACCCTACTCACCCCGCAGGGGACTCAGGGTGGATACATGGCAAACATTCAATGCCATAGACACACAACATATATAGACAGACCCACAGAGGCTCCTTAGCATTCCAGCTTTTTGATGAGGGTATTCTGGCCACCAGGGGAGCTGTTGCTTCACCATCCATTTGTGACACTGATGAAGTACTTCCTCATTCTTTGCATGCTTGCTGGAGATTTTTATGGCATTGTAAAGTAGTTAAATTAGCCTCCCCACATACACGGCACCTGAATTTCCTACTTGACAGATGCAACTGTTTTTCAGGCTGCAAAGTTCGACAGCAAGCTACACAAATTGGTTGGAAGCTCACTCTGACCCGGGCTGGCTTCGAACTCATGACCTTTTTGGTCAGTAGTGATCTGAATGCAACTAACTCCCAGCCAGCTGCACCACAGTCCCAGTTTTCATTATTGTTTTAGTGTTTATGTTGTTATTATTATTATGTGTGTGTGTTTGGCATCTAATTGTTGCCTATATATGTAAGCTGCCTTGAACCCCCCACGGGGTTGAGAAGAGTGGGATATAAATACAGTTATAATGATAAATAAATCCTACTCTAATTAAAACTAACAATTACGTCTTTGACTTTTCCCTGAATATTCATATTAATATGCATTTGAATACAATGCATACATAAATGTTGCCACTTGGTGAAATATCCTATAATGTTATATATTTGCAAATCATAGCATATCATTTTGTAACAATGTCTGGAATCATGTTGTTGGATAACGATGGCATAAGGGAGGCCATTCACTCTATTTCTTGGTCATTAACAGGTAAGAATTCTCTGTCAATTTTATTCTCAGACAAAGCCCTTAAACATAGTCATTTTTTTGTTGGTGGAGAGCAGAAGGTGAAGTATGACAACATTCAGCTGTTTTCTTATACCTCAGGGTTGGTTTTGTTGCCCCGCTCCCATAAGTACATCATGAGGTCAAAAAAAAATTGATCCAAATATTTTTAGGAGCAGGCAGTGACGTCTGCCTGCTTATTGTTATTGAAAAGGGTGTTTCTTGTGCCTAAAATGTTCCAGAAAGACCTGGCAATATTGTGCAGATGCTCCTATGTGTCTGAGAACATATTTGGAGTCAAAAGTTAGATGTTTCTTTTTTTGGGAGCAATTAGCTTTTCAAGGTTTCCTAGGAGCCTGAGCAGCTCTGACACAGCTGCTCACACTTTCTATAGTTGAACAGAGAGCAATCGGCAGGGACTTCTGGAGGAACCATGGAGTTCCCTGCAGATGCCCATCACTGCATCCAGGTGCAGGAAAATAGCTGCATGTTTGGCTGCTGCTTCTTCTACTTTCTACTGGCCAAGAAATGACCAGGCTTGGGGAGGCTGAAGGTGAGTATAGGTGGGTTTTGGAGTAGGTTGGATGGGAGCCTATCAGAGCTAAGTCTGATGGGCTCCCATCCAAGTCTCATAATTGCATCTCCCTGTGCAGGGTTGCATCCAGTCTTTTTAACCAAATGTTTCAAAACTTTATGTGACCACTATGGTCTTTTTTGTTCTTTATGCTACTTTCTTAACTCTAGAATGAATGAAGAACAGATAGCTACTGTTTGTCTTTCTGTACTACGAGCATTATCATATCTTCACAACCAAGGAGTCATACATCGGGATATAAAGAGTGACTCAATACTTCTCACAAGTGATGGACGAGTAAGTATTTGCTGTATTGTTTGATACGGAAGTTTGTTGACTTATTTGTTGTAGTAATAGTATCATTTGCATGAAAAGAACTAGTATGCTTCCAAAGTGTTGCATGTTAACCAGCAACCATTGCATGCCCTTGTATACAAGCTCAAAAAACGTCTACGCATGTGCAAAGGGGGATATTTCTTTACACTCTCAGCTCCATGCTCCTGAGGACCCCTCACTTTGTCTATAGAGTGGCAGCTGAACCAAAAATAACAGCTCCTCCTAGATCAGTGTTTCTGAACCTGGGGGTCAGGACCCCTGAGTGGGTCACAAAGGGGTGTCAGAGGGGTCGTCAAAGACCATCAGAAAACACAGTATTTTCTGATAGTCATGGGGATTTCATGTGGGAAGTTTGAGCCAATTCTATAGTTGGCGGAGTTCAGAATGTTCTTTGATTGTAGTGAACTATAAATCCCAGCAACTACAACTCCCAGATGTCAAGGTCTATTTTCTCTAAACTCCACCAGTATTCACATTTTGGCATATTGAGTATCCGTGCCAAGTTTGGTCCAGATCCATCATTGTTTGAGTCCACAGTGCTCTCTGGATGTAGGTGAACTACAACTCCAAAACGCAAGGTCAATGCCCACCAAACAGTTCCAGTATTTTCTGTTGGTCATGGGAATTCAGTGTGCCAAGTTTGGTTCAATTCCATCATTGGTGGAGTTCAAAATTCTCCTTGATTATAGGCGAACTATAAATCCCAGCAACTACAACTCCCAAATGACAAAATCAATCTACTCTGAACTCCACCTGTATTCAAATTTGGGTATTTGTGCCAAATTTGGTTCAGTGATTGAAAATACATCCTGCAGATCAGAAATTTAGATCATGATTCATAACAGGAGCAAAATTACAGTTATTAAGTAGCAATGAAAATAATTTTATGGTTGGGGGTCACCACAACATGAGGAACTGCATTAAGGGGTCGCGGCATTAGGAAGGTTGAGAACCACTGTCCTATATCATTTGCTTAAAAATACACATTTTGCAAAGCCAGAAGTGAATTTTCAGCCTTTTCTGTATGTAGTTATGGGAGGGATTTTGGCAACCTCAGAACATCCCAGAAGACTAAGACATCGGCTTCAGTTGCCCATTCCAACCAACACCAAAAAGAAAAGAGCTTTGTTTCCACAGTTACAGATGTTCTCCACTTTTTTGTTTTTATGAGTGTGCTGTTAAAAAGCCACCTGATCTTGTTTTTGCAGATATGTATACAATGCCTCATTATGTCTATTACTCCTATGCCTATTACCTGCACACCACATTTTCTCAGGAGAGATTACACAATCATTTTATTTTTCCACACTTTTTCATTCTTTTTTTAATCTCTTACACTCTCAGGGAGACGATAGATATGCTAACATTTTGTGCATTCCTACATAAAAAAGGATGGAACTCGCACACAAAATAACCATTGCTTCATCTATTCTTCATGAGTCTTTTTGTGGAGACAAAAAGCAGAATAATATAATAATAATAATAATAATAATAATAATAATAATAATAATAATTTAAGAAGTTTTGCCATGGTTGAGTTTTGTTTTATAAATAGTAACCATTCTTTCTGTTCTCCTATAACCCCAGTCTAAAATTAAGAGGAAGATTTGGAGAAAGGAGCCAGAAACCTTTGATTAAAAATAATATCTGCATCATTGCCAAAAAAAAGCCAGATGATGCCAGTGTCTGTTGCCACAATGCCATAATTTATAGTTCCTGATTCGTGTCTTCCTGATAAACAGCTTCCCGTGCTATATACCAAGCTGGAGCCTGACAAGACAAATGAGATGCTCCTCTGAGATGTATTTCCTTTTATGTTTCTGGCATGCAAACCAGGACTCAAGGCTCAATCACCACCCACTTTTGATGATTCCGCATAGGACATCACAAGCGGGCTTATCGTGCTGCACAAGAGCATTCTGCCAAATTGAATTCTGTGAGGAATTGATAAAGAATACCATTGTCCTTTATAAGATATCATCAGTCCTTCTGGGTTTCCCCATCTGAATCTGTAGCCTTGCTTCTTATCTGTTAATAAAAATTATTCTCTTCTTTTCTTTATTGTCTGAGATAGACATTCTCTTAATACTGCAATCCTGGTACTTTCTATTTCAATTGGATCTTTGGTGTGGGCTTGCACTTACTTTCTTGTAAACGATACAGTCATATCTCTTAGAAATGTATTCATTATTGCGTGTTGGGATTGGACCCTAAAGGTACTGTCTATTTGGTTTTGTTATTGGTTAACATTAATCATGAAGGCCCAGGATTTCTATGAGAGGTTTAGAAAAGACCTAGATCCAGAGGAAAGATCTGGGAGAGCAGGAGGAGAGAGCAATCTCAATAGATCCTGGATAAAGAAGATGTTCAATTACAGAAGCAGGCTACTCCACACGATGAAGAAGAATTGTATGCTCATCTACTATTTCTAAAATGAGGAACCTGAAGATACTTTCTTTAAATATAAATGGATTGGATTCACCAAACAACAGGAGGAGAACTTTTCATTATTTGCAATTACAGGAAACAAAAATGAATTCCCACTCAATATTTATGCATTACAAAAATGATGGACTTGATAGAAATTGAAAAAGTTGTCAGGTTTACACAATCACCAAACATTCCCAAATTTGAAGAAGATATTGTAATAAGTATAGATAGACAAATTGACTAGGCTCAAACAATCACCAGATCCTTCTAAATTTGAAGAAAAATGATAGCATTTTATTGATTATTTAAAAGAAGAAAAAGAAAAGAATGCCGCCTTATTTTTCTTGGAGGTCATGGGTGCCCCTCTAGAAGAGTCAACCAAGCTGCTACACAAATATATAACATCCATTATGGTTAGAGCCATATAAAGTCGAGTGTGAGAAAGAAACAACGACATTTAGACACACTATTACTGTGGATAAAAGTTTAGAAAATTTAGTTTTAAAATTACCCCAAAATACCTCAGTTGCCTTATCCATGGGTCAATGTAAGAACTGTATCTTAACTCTTATCAAAAATGAGCAACCCCATTATCTAATTGGCAAAATGCTTTTTTATCTGCCTTGGTGGATAAATGGTGGTCACCAGGGGCAGCAGACCCCTGAAATAGTGTTCATGCATTCCCCTCTTCATGAAGACCCTCAACACAGATCATATCAAAATCCTCCATTTTTTGGCCTCAAAAACTGCTCTTGACTTATAGAAGGGGAGAGACTAGCATCCCATGGGAGGGAATTTCACAAGCTGAGGGTAGCCACTGAGAAGGCCTCCTTCCATGTCTACAGCCAGTGGCCATTTCACCGTGGTGGTGGGAATCCTTGAGGATCTCATGACTCATACAGATTCATATAGGCAAATACTGCCTATATAAATCCATATGAGTCTTGATCTAACCCTTGTAGGACTATCACCCCAGCCTATTGTCTCTCAGCAATCATTTTAAAACATTCAAAAACCAGACATAAATTTCATTTTCCACTCTTTTCTCTGTTTGAATACCCCTCACTCTGCCAAAGGGATTACTTCTTCTGGCAATCGAGAGACAAAAGCTGCAGAACAGTCAGTCTAAAAGTTGTTGTATTAAGAAAAGAGTGTTTCCAGAGGGAGGGTGAGAAGGAGCAAAAAAGAGCTAACTTTGCTAAGCCTCCCTCTTCCTTCCTTAAGAATCTCTCCTCCGTATATAAAATAATAAACCAACATCAGCCTGTTTAGGAATATGAGGGGGAGGAGAAAAGGAATTTTTTTTTGTTAACAATACAATTCTAGTGAGCCTCTTTCCAGGCTTGCATACTCAAAAGTACAGTTTTAAAGGTCAGCACCACACAATGAAGTCGGGTAGGCAGAAAAATAATCAGAGTCACCATGAGACTTGATTCAGTCTCATTTCACCAAGAACAGAGATAATATGCCAATTCAGAGAAAATTAATGGGACATAAGCCCTGGGTGATTTCACTAGGGCTTGACGCTAGTCTAGTGTTAGTCATCAGCTTAAAATGATGGAAGTCATGTAGGAAAGAGGAAGTGGTGAGCCTCCCATTCCATGAAATAGAGCAAAGCAGGATGCTCCTAAAACATTTTTCCTTTTTATTGTTGTTTTTCAAAAGATAGAATTGCACACTTATCCATAACTTGTCCTTTTGCGGCTACGATTTCCAGTGTACCGCAGTCAGTGGGATTTGGAGAGTTGTCATCCAAAAAAGCTCCTTTCTTGCTGGTATTGCATAATGCAATCTTGTTCTGTTTTGAATAGATAGCTATGTGTCATAAAGTCCCAGATTTGGGATACGTCTGTCCCCATCTACTCTGACCATTTAGTGCAGTTCAAATCTGACTTCAAACTGTAGTAGCCAGATAACAAACCCCACAAAAGCAGGCAAAAGAAAGCCCCGAACATGCATCAGCGGGACTCAGACAGGTTCTAGGATTTTCTATGTAATCATCTGCACAATGACATGACTATTTTCAGTTCTGATTTGAAACTGCTTTGAATGGTCAGTGTAGATCAGTGGTTCTTAACCTGTGGGCCACGGACCACCAGTGGGCCACAACAATGCAATCTGGTCCATGAGCTTACTTTCTCTATATTTTATTTTATTTTATTTTATTTCCACTCCTTTTACACCACCTGCCGCTCCTTCCCTGTCCCTGACCATGGCATATGTTCTGAATCAGAAACTAGAGCTGATGTCGTCTATCCAATGTAATATTCTGAATCAGCACCCCAAACTGAATTTAAAGTTGATTTGTAACCCTTTTGATACTAATGGTGGAGAGTGCTCCCTGGTCAAAGTGGTCCCTGATCAAGTAGTTCCTGGTCCAGTGGTCCCTGGACAAAGGAGTCCCTGGTCAAAAAAAGTTGGGAACCACTGGTGTAGATGCAGTCTATGAGAGGGTGTGTGTGTGTGTGTAGCAGAGAATAGAAACAAAAGCTTGATAAATATACTTTTTGGAACTACAACCTCCAGAATCTCCTAACCAGTAAGGCTAAAGACATGTTTGAGGAGATTCTGGAAATTACAGTCTAAAAAAAGGAAAAACAAACTTTCTTTAGGTTCTGCCCAAAAAGTGCTATACAATGCTGCAAGCTCCTCCCACATTGACCTCCAGCCTGATTAACACTTCTAACCAGTCAATAGTACTTCGGAGGAAACAGATTCTCCACATTTGCTCATTCAGTGTCATGGATATCTGCTCATTGTCTCTTTACAATATGTACTATTTAGTTGGTTGATTTCTGATTTTTCTTGTTTGACTGTTTTTTTAGATAAAATTGTCAGATTTTGGATTCTGTGCCCAAGTTTCCAAAGATGTTCCAAAAAGAAAGTCACTTGTTGGAACTCCTTACTGGATGGCACCAGAAGTGATTTCCAGACTCCCCTATGGTACTGAGGTGAGTAAGTCAAACTTAGGGCTTGCTCAATTCAACAATATATTAGAAAATGTGCAGCTATATTTTGTTATGCACAAGAGAATCAAAACATATAAATATCATTGTGTACTACAGCACATTATGAAAATTTTAACTCACTTTTGATGACTTAATTGTGCAAATCTTGTGAACTTTTCAGTTCAATTTGTTTCCAGTTCAATGGGTTTAGTGTTCTAGCCAAATACTATGGCAAATTCATTAGAAGTATTAAAAAGCATATTAAATATACAAAACACACATAAGTGATGTTCTTAATATTACTAAATAATTTTTCAGAGAATAATATGAAAAAAATCTCTTTTCTTACATCAATACTTAGAAGGTGAGTTGTGTGCAAGTTGTTGGGTAAGGGTTTTTTTGGCATTGTAATAAATAGACATATATTGCAGGTGGATATATGGTCCCTCGGTATCATGGTAATAGAAATGATAGATGGAGAACCGCCTTATTTCAATGAGCCACCTCTCCAGGCAATGCGCAGAATCAGAGACAATTTGCCACCAAGAGTGAAAGATCTACATAAGGTAAGATGGTTGATGTACTTGTGGTTTCTTGTGCTGGTAGATAGGCTTCTCTATTCTGCAACAAGTCCCTGAGCAAATTGGCCAGGTATCTAAATCTTTCTAGGCCATTCTTTTCCAACTTCGTATGTTCTCCAGATGTCTTGGAGAGCACCAGCCAACATGTCTTTAGATTATGGGTGTTGTTATCTGAGACATTTGGAAGGCATATATGATTAAAGAAGGTTGTTTCAGAACATGATCTAACAACATGGGGTCATGGTTGGGACAATATTCTCCCTCAGTCACATCTTACTGCTTTGCCAGATAGGCTTGTATTATGTTGTAACAGAACATAACCTATAGATACACTCAGAACTCTTTGCAGGCCAGATGGAAAATCTCCATAGTTCTAGCTGAAACCCATGTTACAGATCACATGTCCCTGGGTATCCTCTGGACATCTGGGGTCAACAGCTAGTCCACTTCAGGTTATAGGCAAGTCCTAAGGCTGCTTCTACACAGCCACATAATCCAGATCAGAATTTAGATTAAAGAAATCCAGTTCCACACCAGAGAGTCTCCACACACACCCTGGAAACTGGTACAAGCTCCTGCTGCATCCACACAGTTTCCCTCATGCTTAATTGATTCCAACAGAATGACATATTCTTTTTTTTCTTACCTCTTTGGGAGAAAAGTGCTGAACTGCAGCAGCCCCGTGGATGAGAATCCACAATGGAGCTCAACTCAAAAACAAAAAGGAGAAAGTGATTTCTTCTCAGGGAGGGAAATAAAAGGTGTTTGTTTACCTTCCTGAGTGCACCGTATGTGGTTCCTTTAACAAATTTTTTCAGTATTGGCACTGTTTGCACGAGCACTACTCATGTTCCTCCTGAATTCCTGCTCTAGAGTGTCCGCAAACCGATCAGCTGCAGCTAGAGATGGGAAGGCCTAAAAACAATGGAAAAATTAGAAGAAAAAGTAGTTTTTTCCAGTTTTTTTTTCCAAAGTCATTTTTACTGAAAAAAAATTAAAAGTGTGTCAAATATGTTTTTTTCCAATGATAAACAATATATCTGTGACAGGATATTCAAACATAAAGACCTTGATGAAAGATTTCTGAGAATTTGTTTCTACACACTTTTTCCAGGGGAAAAATGGCTTTAAAAAACTGGGAGGAAAAAACTATGTTTTTTCCTCCATTTTCCTTTTTTTTCCAGGCCTTCCCATCTCTAGCTGGAGTACATATTATCTCCAATTTCAGATGTTCCCTCGCTTTTAACACCCATTTTCTATGTGGATGTGCTTTGCATTGCGCATTAGGGATGTGTATTTTTAGACACACACAACCCTTATAATCCACATCATTCTGGATTTTACACATGGCCTAAATCTGCTTCCTGAAAGTCCTGATTTAGGACTTGTCTACAATAACCAAAAACTCAGATTCACCTTGAATTGAAGACTGACTGTCTTCTTGATGACCAGCTACTTCCTGTGAGTATCCCAGGATGTTTTGTTTCAAACCAGCTTTGCCCTCCACCGTTTGCTGGAAGCTAATGAGTATCTCATGACTTTGAGGCAATCTGAGCAACTAGATTGGGTCCAGCTGGCCCAATCCAGATGGGACACTGGTGGCATAATCCTTTGCCTGCACAGGAAAAGGGGATGGATCCTGGTTGTGTCACTTCAGCTGTGGCAGTGACATAGCTCCATGCAGATACCTCTGCTGACATCAAAACTATATCCCCTCCTTCTTACATCAGCAGAGCTACTGTGTTTGATTATGGAATCTACAACTAAGAGTAGCAAAGGTAACATGGAGCAGGATACCCAACACCTTGTTGTGTAAACAACAACTCCATTGTGGGCCTGCTTGGGATCACATTTAACCTGGACTTTCATAGCCTTTAGTATATGCTTATACTACCAACTTCATTCTTAGTCTCTTAGGTGCTACAAGACCCCTTTGCATACAAACTAACACAACTATTTCTTTGGACACTACCTCCTTAAAATGCGGTTTGGTTTTGTTTTGTTTTGCTTAGCTTTGCTTTCTTTTGTAGGTCTCATCCGTCCTCCGTGGCTTTTTAGATGTGATGCTGGTACGGGAACCTGCACAGAGAGGAACAGCCCAAGAACTGTTGAGACACCCATTCCTCAAGATGGCTGGGCCACCTTCCTGCATAGTGCCTCTCATGAGGCAGTACAGGCATCACTGAATCCTTTGGTGTATTTATTCATTTGCTTATTAATGTTTTGGAGAAGAGTCATGCTGAGAAAGGACAAAGCACTGGGGCAACACAAACAAAAAAAATCCAACAACAGAACAATGTACAACTGTTGCCATGGCTCAGCATTACCATGAAGGAAACTTCTCTGTGACTTAAGAAGAGATGTGGGATTTTTTGTCTTTTTGGTTTAAAGCCAGACATGTTGACAGCTAATATTCCTGTGTGGGCCGCACTTTCCCCAGTCACTTGCTGTTTTTAGTCTGTCAGCTATCAAAAAAAAAAAAGAATGTTTCTTCAAATCCGACTTAGGAGAAAGGAAGAAGATTAAAAAAACATGTAGCACAAACCAGATGAAACACCAGAATTTTATTTAAAAGCAGAGTGAAATAACACTTCTACTTCAGAAGGACGCCTTTTTTTCTGACAAAATCTAAAATGCAAAACAAGAGAAGAAGCACTTTTTAAATCTTCGTTGTAACGGTGTGATGTATTTTAAAACAAAATTTGTAATTTTCTGTACATTGCTTTTGATAATTTCCAGTACTTTAATGTCATAGTGATAGTGCAGATAGAGGTGATCAGTGTAACTTAGCAAGCATTTGAGCGAGATCTTTCCTACTTTTTTATCCCTTTTGAAAAAAAAGGAACATGAATGAACACACATGTGCTCACACATGCACACACACACACACACAAGCAATTCTGAATGTTGACAAGAATTTCTCATCTGTGCCAGTCAAATGTACATGTTCCTTTTGCAACCATACATGTTGCTGAGCAATGCCATACCCCCTTTTCCCTGACAGAAACAACGTTTGGAGATTTTTGCTATTGTCCTGAAGTGATATGTACTTTGAAAAAGACTCAGGCATTTATGCTGTTTCACATAACCTTTATTTCTCATGTGATTTTGGGAAACTGTTCCATGGTGGTAAGAAGTGATCAAGTACTACAGCACAGTGAAACCTTGCTGGTCAAGAGGTAAGCTGGCCTTTGTGTAGGTACAACCACCATTCATTACATGCATCAGCCCTCAATATTATAGGTCTTTGATGTTTTCCTGCAGGAGTAGGAATGTTTGCTTGTTGAGGTCAAAAGCTTTCAAGAGCTTGGAGTCCAACTGTGTGGAAACAAAGTGGATGAGGTTTAGAAAATAGACAAGTGTCCACCTGAGATCCTTGAGTTGCAGGTTCTCCATTTCAACCTTGTTGCATGCACAGACAGATGGGTGGTTTGCTTGCGTTCAAATTCTAAATAACCCTGATATATATTTAGGAGAGGTCCACATGACTCTTGATTCCCAAAGCCTACTGAAAGCTTAGCATACACTTCCCACTTGTCTTTGCCTGTTGAAACAAGATAATCAAAACCAGAGCAAAACCAGAGCTTGGTTTAAACTTCAACTCTTGATATCTCTGTTACTCTCCTTGCTGGTTGAGTGATTTTTGAGTTGTACTCCAAAAAATGTAAAATTCCTGAACAAGTGAGCTGGGTTCCATTTGGTGAATCACATGTAAATTGTCCCTGTCCAGGGGTGCACACACTTGATAACAAAAATAAACAAAGGCGCCTGGTTGCACCCCCATGTGGCCACATATCTCACGTGAGTCCACAAGTTTCAATTTCACGGTGTTTCTTTTCACATGATCTACAATGAGTGTGTGCCCAACTTGTCTGCAGGTGATGGTCATCAGCTGGCAAAGCAAACACCTCTTTGTTCCCAACTCCTGTGTCCCAACATTCACTTTCATTATTTATATTCATGCTTTGGAAATCAAAGAAAAGACTCACAATATCCAGGCAGCAAGTGAGCATTTTCCAAGCTTAAATCAACTTGTTGTAAGCTTATTATGTTGATGTGTTTGCCATAAAGGGAGAAGCTCTCTGAACTTCTTTGGAATGTGAATTCAGCAGTAACTGCTACAACCTATTTTGTGTTGCTTGTTGACTAGATTTGCATGTTTACCATAGGCCTATAGAGATTTGCCTTTATAAGTGCTTCATAATTATTTCAGTGATGGGGAGATTTATTTATTATTATTGTCTGCATACTATGAAAGCCATGTATTTTCCATTTTTGTTTTGCTATTACTGACTTCACTTGAAAAAAAAATCTCGAATTCTAAATTGAACATATCTGGTTAGATCAAGTTGCATTGTGGAAAATTGGGGATTTTTATTTTGCTTTTTGTTTCCTTTTTTCTTACTTCATGAATTGGTTGTTCATTTCTTATTGTAATAAAAAGAAAAGCAAAAGAAGGCTGCTAATTACAGAGAGATTTGCTCGTTGTAATTATGAACGTCTTTTACAAATCTGTGTCTCAAGCCAACATCCTTCTTTGTAGATTAAGTATCCACAAGTGGAATTTTTCTACTGTTCCCTGTTCAGCCCCCCAGAACTCATGGTCTTACTATGATAATGGAGGTGGGGCTTAGATAGCCTGGTACAACTGATAATATCCTCCACCAAGTTCCATCAAGATACACACCTCTTTAGTCCACTCACCTTCACTAGCCACAGAATGGCCATGGGGGAATTCAATAATTTCAGAGATAGGGGTGTCAAAATGGCATACGCAGATGTGAGGTGAATTTACACTTGTGTGTATTACTAACTGAATGCCAACTCAGGTCACCACATTTTTTCTTCATTTCAGGATAATGGACATTCTGGTACAGTGGTGAAAGAATTGAGTGTCATGACAGCTTTCCCTTATGGTACAAATAACTCAAAATGATCTGCTATTAATCTCAAATCTGCCTTCTGCTCACCTTTATGGTATATATGTGCTTTTTCTATTTACGTACATGGGGACTGTCATCTAAACAATTCAGAGACCACTAAACTATGTCATCCGTTCCTTTTACTTCACTGTTGCCACCTGATCTTCCTCCTTAAATTCTCCATAATCTCTTTCTTGCCTCTTGAATGTTGTTAGCATGATCCCTCAGAAGAAAATGCCCCTTATTCTAACAGGAGATGAGACAGTAAATTTGTGCTGTGAACTTTACCATTATATACTACTGTCTGGGCTGTGTGTAAGAACCAGGCCCACATTTTCAATTCACTGCAATGGCTGACTTGCAGTGAATTGAGATAATATTTCAAAATAGTTTTCCTTAAGTATTGGGGAAACCTAACAAAGAGAATAATGTACTAACAATTTTCACTGTTGAAAATTCTACCTAAATGTGACATATTTCTTGTGTATGTAAAACAGCATTTTGTGCAGAAAATTGGTATTTTCTACGCAAAAAAAAATGGTGTGTGAATTTTCACAGAATATGTCCCTAAAATTATGTTACTTTGGTGGACTGTAATTATTGACTGAAGGATTCTGGATGTTAGTTCTTCCAAAAGTAACTTTCCCAACCCCTGCTCCAAATGAGCCAGATCCTAAGGATAGATGCTACCCACCACATTCTCATGCTAAGAGTAGGGTCGGGGCAGTCACATGTGACCTTAGCACCTGCCTCTGGTAGAGTCTCTTCCTGGCCTGCTCCTTGGCCTCCACTGCCATGGAACTCAGCTGCTCATCAACAGCATGCTTCCCTTCTTCCGGGCCTCCTCTTCCTGCTCCTTTGCCACCGCTACCTTCCTCAAGAGCATGTTCACTCTCTGAAACCCATTCCAGGAAGGTGCACTGGCTTGATGCTGGAGTACCTCCCTGAGAAGTGTGCCTTCAGCAGGTGGCCGACGCTGCTTACCAAAGAAGAGCAGCAGCAGGAAGGAAAAGAAGGAGAACGCTAGACAGGTTTGACATGCCCTGCAGACACAAACAGCTGCCCAGGGCTCTCCTTCCCTTCCCTCCTACTCCTGCTTTTCTTCTTTCTGAGGTGGAACTTACTCTTGAGGGAGACAGTGCAGGAGGGAGAGAAGGTGGAGGAGGACTCGCCCTCCTCATCACCAGGGGTGGAGCCCAAGGCACAGGCCAAGAAGACCAAGAAGAGACTCTGCCCGGGGCTGATGCTGAGGCTATCTGTATTCAGCTTAGGTGTGAACATGGCTGCGGACCAGGCAATCAGCCGTGTGTAAAATCCTCCCCTGTGTTCCAGATGCCTTTGACTTCCCCTCACTGCAGACGTTCCCACCTCCATCTCACCTTGCCCATCCCACCTTGGCCCACCACGCGGCCCCTAGGTTAAAAAGTCTTCCCCATGCCTGGGACAAGTGTTTTATAACAAAAATGGCATTCCCGAAGAGTTCAAGGACTGGAAAATTAGTTTTCTTCCACAGATTTTTGACAGGAAAATTCAAAAGAGCAGGAGCCTCAAATAACCTTAAGATAACATGTGGACCACACCCTTCAACTGCCCACTTCCTTGCTAGGAATGAAATCATAGGCTCTGTGACTGATTATATTGTGGAATATTGCTCAGCTCCCAGAAGCCTTGGTCAGTGATCAGGGATTCAGGGAGCTGAAGTGCAAAACAGCTGGAAAGCCAAAATTGTTGTCCTTAGAGAACCTCCATCCAACATTTGTGCAAGCAAGGGGACCGATTCCCAATGACAACTCACGACCTCCCTGTTGATGAACAGCTGAATCTGCTCTATGTTTTTGATTGAAACTGAAAGAAATCAAATGTGCTGATACCTTAAAATACGTTTTTACCATGAAATAACTAACTTGAAGTTAGGATTCACCTCCCCAATGACAGCTGTCATTATTGTCAGCATACTCATTACAATGACAGCAAACACTGGTCTTGTTGAAGCCTTCAACCCTACTGTCTTAATTTAATTGTTTCCAATGAACTGACATGAAGCCAGACAGAGCTACCATAATCAAGGCAGCGGCATCAAAGTATGTGGCCCCAAACCTTCCTTCGGCATTGCTGTTATGGAACTATTGCTACCACAGAACTATGGTGTTTAGAGCACAGATGCTAAAAGGAAGCAAGCAACTTGGCACTACAGTTTATGTCCTTATCACATGATGCCATTCTACCCCACCACCAGTTTCACAGAAAGTTTCAAGAGATATAAAATGGGTGTTTGGGTAAAAATGTCAAAGCCACAAAAATTCTTTTCCATCTCAATTTGTACAGTTTTTCTTATCCAAACTGTTTGGGATCAGAAGTGTTTTGGATTGGTTGGGGTTGGATTTTGAATATTTATGTATCTATAATGAGATGTCTTGAAGTTTAAACATGAAAATCATTTGGGTTTCATAGAGACATTTTGTGCATAACCTGAAGATAATTTATATACAATATTGTAAATATTTGTGTGCATGAAACAAAGTTTGGGCACACTAAACTATCAGAAAGCAATGGTGTCACTATCTCAGCCATCCATATAGACCATTGGTTCTCAACCTGTGGGTCCCCAGGTGTTATGACCTACAACTCCCAGAAATCCCAGCCAGTTTACCAGCTGTTAGGATTTCTGGGAGTTGAAGGCCAAAACATCTGGGGATCCACAGGTTGAAAACCACTGATGTAGACCATTTCGGATTTTGGAGTATTTCAGATTTCAGGATTCCAGATATGGGATGGTACACACTGGCTGTTTGGGATATAGTCATCTGGACTGCACTGAATTTGGTAGATGCCAGCAAGAGATGAGACTGAAGATGTCCCTAGGGACACTGTAGACATAGGAAGCAACAAAAATGGCGACGTGGTTCAGGAGCAACACAAAAAAATCCCTATTGTTGAAAGCATCACTCTTTTCATGTACTATTTTAGAGAATCCTCCGACATTTTATTTGCATCTCCTTATTTGTACAGCAGTAGAAGTCACATCAGAGTGACTACATGTGCCAACAAAATATTTTGTATACATTTTAAAAATATTATGCATAAAGCAACATATTTTAGGATTGTTTGGGGGTTTCCCCATATATATATTTACACATTGATATTTATAACACCTGAAGGTATCTGCATAGTAATATGAACATTTTCTTGTTGCTGTCTTATGAAATCATCATGTAGCAGCAGGCATTTTTTTCAATCACACTACATGCAAAGTGCCTGGCCCAGAAGCATTTCTCACTTCACAATAGCATGACGCTCCTTATGATTCAAGTAGAAACAGCCTTAATGCTGTCCTGGTGCTGAAGCATTCCCAAAAAAGAAAAAGAAAGAACAGAAGCAATTTTTCATAGAGCTAAAACCAAAAAAACCTTATTTTTTTCCCTGACAAAAGAGAATTGAAATTGAGATGTCATGGTGCCTGATGGCTTCCATGTTCGTGGAGTGGCAAATCTATTGTAGGCTTTAGTCAAAAACATCACTCTCCATGTTGCTGGACCCTATTGCCAAACAGGTCCAACATTTTGAAGAGATTAAACCCAGAGTGGATTTGCAGATTCACCAACATGGGAGCAACTAACTACCATTCTTCATAGGAGCTGCAGTGGAATAGAGAAGATTTCATGCATGGTGAACAGGACCTGGGACTATTTCATAGTACAGAGTTAGAGCACTCTGATTTCACCTTAACAGCCATGAAGCCATCCTATAGATTCCCGACATTCGGAGTTTAGGAGACACATTTCAAATTTTCATCCAGAAAGCTCCTCTGGTGTCTCTTACCAAACTAGAAGCCTCAAATTTCATAGGATGTAGCAAAGCAGTTAAAAATCTGAGTGTTATATTTGTGGAGTCTGAAAGAATCCCAGGATGACAGATCTTTCCCAGTTGTCTTATTCCTTGGGATCAAGAGTGGGACCAAGACATGTTATTGTTTTCCTTCAAGTCATCTCCAAGTTATGGCAATCCTGAGAAAAACCTATCATGGAATTTTCTTGGCAAGATTTATTCAGAGTGTGTGTGTGTGTGTGGTGATAGTGAGGTGTTGCCTTTACTGTTCTCTGAGACTGAAAGAGTGTGAGTTGCCTAAGGACACACAGTAGATTTCCATGGCTAAGAGAGCCATGGTCTCCAGATTTGTAGGCCAACGCTCCAACCACGACTGCATAGTGACGCTCTCAAGATATGGTACTGAGAGGAAAATATTGTGTCATACAGTAATCACCCTAGCATGAATCTGAACATTGTGATGGGACAACTTCATCACCATATCTGGGGATAGCAGTTCACTTAAGGGATGCAAGACTGTGTGAGACATACAGGTCTCCTCCCACCTCTTTTTAGTCTCACAGCATCTGCTTGAAAGGAATGAGACCAATTTCCCTTAAAGTGATCTTTGATACTCTTCACTGCAGAAGCCAGAACAGAAAACAGTGATGTCCCATCACCTACAGTTTTAATTCTGGCCTTTCTTAGCTGGTTTTATTTTGCTCTAGCAGTTGGTGGGGAGCTTGAGTGGCTGATAGTTTCAGATCAGGAAAGTAATCTATTCCACTTTTTTGTCTAAACTTCAGAAAGCTGTCAAAGGTGCCAATTATTTTGCAAATAAGTTCAGCATTTTGGGGGTCACCTTTCATGTTCATGCTAAACCCAGAATGGAATTTCTGCCTCACAAACATCAACAGCAATAATGATTGCTTCTGCTGGCTTCCCAACTACTCCTGGTAGATTTCTAAAAAGTGTAAGGTGTAGATCCAGCATGGTGTAGTGGTATGGGCATTGGGCTAGTATTCTGGGAACCAAAGTTCAAATCCCCACACACAGGGCCATAGCCAGAAAAAATTTTTGGGAGGGGTTGAAATTTTGGGTGGTGGGGGGGGGTTGAAACCTTCCTCCTAGCTCACGCTGAAGCAAAGAGCACAGCAGGGGGCAGAGCAGCCTTCAATAGCCTGCAGCTCCACCCCTGTCAACCACCTCCACCAAGTCTGGCCTCCTTAATGAGAGCATTCAACACACACCCCAACTTGGTTGCTTCGCTACATTGGCTATTGCTGCAAGTAATGACAGTGTGAATAAATTGTCAATATTTGCCTGAGATAGTGCTTGCAGTTCTGGAGGGACTTTTTGCGTCTCATAGACTTAGCATGGGGATTTGGTTAACCAGTTAAAATTCATGAGTAAACCAGGTTTTTTAAAAAATCTGAAACATTTCGGGGGGGGTTGAACCCCTAACCCCCCCCCCCCTCGCTACAGGCCTGCCCACACATCCATGGAAACTCATTGGGTGACCTTAAGTAAGTCACCTTCTCTAAGCTTCAGATGCAGGCAAAGACCAGCCCCCACTGAACAAATCTTGTCAAGAAAACCCCATGATAGATTCACCTTAGGGTCACCATAGGTCAGAAACAATTTGAAGACACACAACAACAAAGATGCTGCATGAAAAAAGGGAAATTAGCAATCATTTCCTTCATCACCATGAAACAAACTCAGCTTTCAAATGTTGATGGACTCCACTCCTAACAGCTTCCTCCAGCATGGAGAAGGGTAAGAAATGATGGAAGGTGTAGTGCAATAACATCTGGAAGGCCACAAGTTTCCAACTCCTGCTAGTTAGGAGCAGTAGCAGAAGCAATGGCAGGTAAATATTTTTAAAAGCAAAACAAATACCATGTTCCCAGATTCTTCCATTGATAAATGAATGGGAATTTGACAAATGAAACCAAAGTTGTCCCCTGTGTTCAGGGAAGGAAGATCTCCCTCCCTTTTAAGCATAGGCTTTGAAGAAATGGCTGCTTCTCCGTCCCACCCCTCCCACCCACCCCCATCCCTTGCCCCCTCTATTTGGTCATAGTCCAGTCAAGAATTCCTCAACCTCTCCGTAAGAGGTGCTTCCCCCTCCCCCAGATTGGTTACTTTGTCAGCTATCCCATATGCTTATATTCAGATCTGTCCCGTGGAATTTGGACTTGATTTGCTGTCATTTTGAGATGGAGATGATAAACGCCGAGGGTTATCACAATCAACAGTCCCAAGATCAAGCCCAGCACAAGAGGAAGGGTTTCTTCTAATTGTTCTCTTTCATCAACTGGACATTTATGTTCTGCAATATATAAAAAAGGAGGAGGATGGTTAATTTTATAAAATAAACAAAACTTCAGACAAAATGCTTGTAGTGGGTATTTCCCAAAGAATAGTATACATGCTTGACACATACACACCATTACTATCACTGCTCATGGCAGATGTTCTATTGGCAGATATTTTAGAACATCTGGGGGACCAGAAATTTCACGTCTCAGTACTATACAAGACTGGCAAAGTAACAAAACAATCTATGAGAAAGAAAATTTGGATGTAATGGGCATTTCTATGTGTTCAGAAGCCCTGAAAATGAAATGCACATAGGGAAGATACATAAGAGATCAAAGCTACACACTGAACCCAGCCCCAAAATAGATTCAGCGCAAGACCTTGAATAGCTCCATCCATCCAAGTTTGAGCTAAAACCTTTAGATTAAGGATCTCTTCACATATGCCACCAGAATCACCACAGATCATGGCGATTCCAGCTGCACCCACTCGGGGGCATGGGAACCGATTGCCCCACACCTCACATCACCCATCCTCTGTCTAGGCCCCCTTTTGGAGTCGGACCACATAATGAAACAGCGCCATTTATTTTATCTTAGAGAAAACTTTCTAGAGTAGTTGTAATCATTAAAAATCATTTAAAAGTATTTTTTCCGAGATCAGAACAAAACAAAGCAGAATTGTATGCCTTCAAGCCCTGTATCTGAGATTGGCAGAAGCAATTGGTTGGGCAAAGAGTGCTGTTCTACCTCTGTGTTTATCTAGTCTAACAGGGATGTTCAGGGGGGTTTGGTGTTGTTGTTATTGTTCTTAAACTTTATTACTAACTAGGTACCGAGGACTGTTGTTGAGCTTGGCTAGATGTTTAACGTTACTGTATTTGTTGTTATTTATAAACAAGCGTGTATTACAATTTGGAAAGGGATTGAGGCTGGGTATAAATGCGGGGGGAAGAAGGAGGAAGAGGAGGAGGAGATATCTAGTTCTCAAAGTTAATGTTGTCACAATTACCATAATCAATTGCTCTTCTGTCCCTGAATACACAATAACTCAATACCTATAAATAATAGTAAAAGATAGTAAAGGTTGTCCCCTGACATTAAATCCAGTCATGTCTGACTCGTGGTGTGGTGCTCATCTCCATTTCTAAGCCGAAGAGCCAGCATTGTCCATAGACACCACCAAGGTCATGTGGTCAGCATGACTGCTGGAGCGTCGTTACCTTCCCACCGGAGCGGTACCTATTGATCTACTCACATTTGCATGTTTTCCAACTGCTAGGTTGGCAGAAGCTAGGGCTGACAACGGAAGCTCACGCCACTCCCCGGAATCAAACCTGTGACCTTTTGGTCAACAAGCTCAGCAGCTCAGCGCTTTAACCCACTGTGCCACCGGGGGCTCCCTATAGATAATATATAGAAAATAGTAGGGCTGGGCGGTTTCGTTTCGTTAATTCGTAATTCGTTAATAATTCGTTAATTTTTTCAATTACAAAACGATAACGAACCATTCTGGAGCAATTATTTAAAAAAACGAATTTTCAAAAACGTTTTGTAAATGCTTCGTATTTCGATATTGTATTCGTTTCGTTATTGTTTTGAGGTCGTTTCGTTATTATTTCCGCATGTCTGGGCCAGTTTTATGGTTTAATTAGTGAAAAAAAATTATAATATCACCCCAACAGTCAACAACAGAGGGAGAGGGAAGCTTCAGAAGGTTTTGGAGGTTTTTTAGCGTATTTCGCGGTCGCGTCCGCCATTAACGAATCGATTCGTTATTGTTTCGGAAATCGATTCGTTAATTTTTTACCATTTACGAAATTTCGTAAATATCGAACTTTTTAAAAGGAAAATTTTGTAATTATTTTAAATATCGAAACAAAAAAAACCCCAAATACAAATCGATTTTAGAAACAAATTTTTCCGTTGTTACCCAGGCCTAGAAAATAGTAGGTTCCTCTAAAAGGGTTTCAATTCAATAGTCTTTCTGTCTGTCTTTTCTTTCATTCTGTCACAGTACATTTACTAACCAGTCAATGCAAGAGTAATATCAGCTTTGAGACTAAGCCAAATAACTAAATCAACTTATTTAATGTTTAGTATTTTATTTAAAATCTCCAGTTTTTTGCAAGGAGGAGGCTCACCTGAGTCTCTCCCTTGTGGTGTAAATTTGGTTTCATACCTTAAAGGCATGAGATCCCATCTGATCTTGGAAGAGAAGCAGGACCAACTATGGCTAGTACTTTGATAGAAGATCACCAATAAATATAGGTGGTAAGGGCTAAATTTTAGATGAAGGAACTGGTTCTGAGAAGTCTTTGCCTTAGAACCCTATGAAATCCATGGAGTCACCATATGTCAACAGGCAACTAGAAGGCGCACACACATCTCACCTTGACTTTGCTAGTCATTTCAAGGCAAGGAAGATTTAAAAGAACCACAACAACAACAGCAACAACAAGATCCTTCTATTGGGACTCTGCAACTCCCAAAAGGCAAATGAAACTGGCTTACCAGTATGAACTAAACATACATGTAAGAAACAATTCTTGCATAGTATCTATTTAAAGTCAGGCTTCAGTGTGAAGGAAAGTGAAGAAGAGTCATAAAAAGTGTTTTTATAGCTTATAAACATTTGATCAGATCTGGGCAACTCTCGGTATTTTTCCCCTGAGCATTTGCTCAAGGGAAATACAAACACATAACAACCAAGAAAGCTAAAAAGATTCACAAGGAAGAATTCTTCCATGTTCTGCTACAAATTGTTTGTGTCAGAGGAAGATGTTTAATATCGATTATACAGGAAAGACAGGTTATAGAAACCAAGAAATATTTTCTGCTCAAAGAAAACTAATGAAGAAAACTAATGAAGGTGAAAGTAGCATTCAGACTTTCCCCTTCTGTTCCTTTTCATTTTCCTTTCATCCTTCACCACCAAGTACTGTACAATTGATGTATGGCTAAGAATGCTCAAATTGTGAGCTTGTGCCTGTTTTCCACCACTATTCACCTCTGCAATATTTGGGCAAAAGGGAGATGCTGACAAGCAGGAATGTGTCCAGAAAAGGGTGACTAAAATGAACAAAGGTATGGAGAACAAGCCCTATGAGGAGCGGCTGAAAGAGCTGGGTATGTTAAGCCCAAAGAAGAGCAGGCTGAGAGGAGACATGATGGCCATGCAACATGTGAAGGGAAGTCATCGGGAGGAGGGAGCAGGCTCCTAGAACCTGGAAAAATGGTTTCAAACTATAGAAAAGGAGATTACACCAGAACATTAGGAAGAACTACCTAACTTTGAGAGCTGTTCAGCAGTGGAACTGTCTTCCCCAGGGTGTGGTGGAGGCTCTTTCCTTGAAGGCTTTTAAGCAGTGGCTGGATGGCTATCTGCCAGGGGTGTTTTAAATGCGATTTTCCTACTTCTTGGCAGGGGGTTGGACTGAATGGCCCATGAGGTCTCTTCCAACTCTAGGATTCAATGATTCTATGAAAAGGGCTCTTAAAAACCCCTCCTCCTACATGTCCATTCAGTGACTCTTGGGAAGCAAAATAGATTTGAGAATATCTGGCTATATCCTCATAGCAAAACAAGGATGGATTACATATGATTTGAAATGTTCCTCCAGAGGTCTCAGCACTACTCTCATTATTTTGCATCCAGCTACTGTGCATGGCCAGGCACGTTACTAACAATTTACTCTGGTTGCTCTCCAAGAAATATAGAATAGCAGTTTAGGGGGACTTCAGAAACTATATGGTAATTTGGAAGGAAGATTGGGCATGGCAAAGAGATGAAAGGAAGAACAATGTTTGAAGATCTTAACAGATTAGAGAGATGGGCCAAAACTAACAAAATGAAGTTCAACAGTGACAAATGCAAGATACCCCACTTAGGCAGAAAAAATGAAATGCAAAGATACAAAATGAAGGATGCGTGGCTTGAGAGCAGTACGTGTGAAAACGATCTTGGAGTCCTCGTGGACAATAAGTTAAACATGAGCTAACAATGTGATGCGGCAATATTCCTGCTTCTTGGCAGGGGGTTGGACTGGATGGCTCATGAGGTCTCTTCCAACTCTATGATTCTATGATTCCAAGTGCCAACAAATCGACAAATCAAGCAGAAGGTACATTTCTGCTGCTAACAGTATGGCAGCCCAAGCACCCTTGATGGATAGGAATTTCATTGCCAGAATCACTGGGTTGCTGTGAGTTTTCTGACCTATATAGCCATGTTCCAGAAGCATTCTCTCCTGACATTTCACCCACATCTATGACAGGCATCCTCAGAGGTTGAGGGGACTGCTGGAAACTAGGCAAGTAGGGTTTATATAATCTGTGGAATGTCCAGGATGGGAGAAAGAACTCTGCCTTCTTGAGGCAAGAGTGAATGTTGGACACCTTGATTAGCATTAAATGGCCTTGAAGCTTGATAGGGATTTCATTAATACAGAATTAGTAAACTATAAGAAAAAGGAAGCTCTGCAATGAAAGTTGTGTGAGACTGCAATGCATCAGTCCTAAAATACATGTTAGAAGTCAAGTAATAAAAGCAAAGTAGGCAGGAAAATGGAACATGATCCTATGGAACATGAATGGAATTGAAACAATGGACTGGTGTTATCTGGATATTTCATTATATGTGACTATGAGCCTTTTTTTAAAAAAAAAAGCTGGATTGTGTTCTTTACCCATCACAGTTTTTCACTGCTGGACATCTTCTTTCCAGGTCTGAAGCTGCTGCTTTTTTATAGATTGTATCCAAATATTCCCCAGCATAACTCCAGTTCTTAGGTTCTTACCTTCACTGAAAACAAAATCAGAGCTGATGTCAAAGGGCTGTATGTGGACCTCTGACAGCAAGAGAAGTATTGATTTTTGATGGTCACTGGCAGGCAGGGTGATGGTCTGCTGAGCTTGACATTCATAAGATCTTCCAGCTGGGGTAACTAAAGCTGAAAGATGACGCGTCGTGACTGTGTGCTTCCCAGCTGCCAAAAGGAAAGAAATATCAATGAACGAGTGCCATTGCAATAGTATCACTGAATCAAAGAGCTGGAAGAGACCACATGGGCCATCTAGTCCAACCCCCGCCATGCAGGAAAAGTGCAATCAAAGTGTCACTGGGGTTGGTGTCACCTAATGGGGTAATCCATGGTGTCCTCTCTATGGACCTCAACCCATAACAAACCATAACACACTATTCTAGCTAAAATATCAGAATCTTCAAGTATCTGTAACCCCATGCCCATCTCCCATATCTTGAGATTGTACATGTGTTTCTACTTTGTGCACAATAACTTGCTCCTAATTTTGCCAAGGGACCACAGCTGTCTTAACAGCAGCAGCTGCAAAACATGCTCAACCTGTGAGAGAACAGGGAAAGATCCATACATTCTAAATGCATGCTTAGCAGGAAATGTATCTCAGAAATTGGAATTATGAATTGGAGACCATGTTTCCCTTCACAAATCAAAGGATGTCACACAAAAACATGTTCAATGGCATACAATGGGAAAAAACACAACCAGTTACTGCTGGAATCAAAAGAAAATTTAGTTGCAAGTATATTCAAGGGAAAGTGGTAAGATCAAGTTGAATCATTGTAAAGAAATCCGGCCTAGAGAAGAAAGACAGAGCTCCCCCTTCCCAGCCTTTAGTAAGCCTAAGGAGTAAAAACTGCTGTTTAGTCTTATTCAGTTACTTTCCCTCTAGCCTTGGCCATTTCTCTCCCAAATGAAGTTAGTTTCACCCAGGCCCGTAGCGTAGCGAGGGGGGGGGGTTTAGGGGTTCAACCCCCCCCGAAATGTTTCAGATTTTTTAAAAAAACCTGGTTTACTCATGAATTTTAACTGGTTAACCCAATCCCCATGCTAAGTCTATGAGATGCAAAAAATCAAGAGTCCCTCCAGAACTGCAAGCACTATCTCAAGCAAATATTGGCAATTTATTCACACTGTCATTACTTGCAGCAATAGCCGATGTAGTTGTTCTGGTACAGCTGTACCAGGAGCTCCAACTTTATTTGCTTTGTATTAAATGTTTGCTTGCAGTCCTAGGTTTCAGGTAATCAGGTGGCTTCTTTGGTTGCAGTCATAGGGCAAGTCACCTGTCCATCATCGTTAAGTTTTGGTTCCGCCCCTTGCTCAGGGCAATTGGGAAGGGAAGGGAGCCATTTTTAGTTAGTCTCAGCAAGGAAAGCAAATGTACAGGACGTGTGCAAGCTTCCCCTGTACAAAACTTCAACCCTTAAGACCTTCCGGGGGAGAAAAGTCTTAAGAGTCTCCAAAGAATTTCCAGGAAAACAGCCCTAAAGACCAAAGAACTCCAGCTGGAGAACATCTACTGCCTTGCTGGTAGGTCCACTCGGCGTTCGAGACGCAGTTTGACCCGGTAGCGGAGCCCACATCAGTAAGGGTTAGATTACAGTCAGCCTGGGAGAAGTTAAAAAGGGGATTTTCCTTTAAAGAAGAAGTTATTGAAGACAGTTGCCTGTCCTTCGTGGGCAAGATTAGGAATTCACCAGTTGCCTAAAAGCTTGGAATCATTTGCTTAACTTTACTGAAGACAAGAGAAGTTTCTGTTTGATTGTTCATTAATAAAAGACTTTGTTGTACTTCTCAAGCCATCTAAAGACTATTTGTGGTGGAAACCTCTGAGAACTTCTCTTTAGGCCTGGCTTCCCGCTGGGCAAAGGTTGCACATCCTGTTCTAAAGACAATTATTTACAGGCCCAGCGACAGAACAGTAGTGAAGCAACCAAGTTGGGGGGGGGGGATGTTGAATGCTCTCATTAAGGAGGCCAGACTTGGTGGAGGTGGTTGACAAGGGCGGAGCTGCAGGCTATTGAAGGCTGCTCTGCCCCCTGCTGTGCTCTTTGCTTCAGTGTGAGCTAAAAGGCAGGTCCCCCGCGAAATTTTCAACCCCCCCCCCCCCCCCGAAAATTTCAACCCCTCCCGAAATTTTTTTCTGGCTACGGCCCTGGATTCACCTATCCCATAATGTTACCTGGTGCAGCCCACACTATCTGCATCTCCTAGTGATACCACTTTACTAATATTTTATATGCCTGAGTGTTGGGTTTCATCCCTCACTGCACAAGTCTCTAGCCCTCAATGAGTAGTTATCCTAGATAGATTAGAATAAGGGGTTCCTTCTCCTAAATTCCCTGTGCATGCGTAACTCAAGAAGGTGCTCAGAAGGGGGGTTTGTCTTGCCCATCCTGCATGCCACTATCTGCTCCCCTTTTGAATACTTAGCAATGTGATCTCTTCAGGGAAGATGTCATTTCCTCTTTAAGGGCATTTTTATGCGGTCTGTAAGGAGGCATCTTGCCATTGTCCAGGCAAGATATAGTAGACATGGCTATTTTGTTATTCCCCCCCCCCTTTTCCCCCTTAGAAGATAGCTCAGTGAAGCTAGTTATCTCCAAAAACCTTTCCTATCCAGAATGGATTTATTTTATCTTTAATAAACATATTATTTTTACAGCCTATGAAGTTGTGGATCTGCAATCCTGTTCCATCCTGTTGAATGGAAACCATTCCTTGCTCTTTACACGTAAGCTTCTGCTGGTTATGAACTGTGCTTCTGGCACTCTGCTATATTTTTGTGGAATCACCCCAAGTGAGGGTTATTTTTGAGCTTAACAGCCCTTGATTCCCAACACTGAGTATTTTCTCTAATACTGGGAAGGTAATCAATCTTATTCATGTCCAATCAGACAGAAAATACATTGAGTGCTGTAAGAATCATGCCCACGCAAGATGTTTATGAATACAACCTTAAAGAATCGACTATCTAGTCATCCTTAATTTACTGGATGTATGTGAATGCTGTTATGTGAGCATGGCCGAGCTTGATCAACATCACTGCACCAATTCCAAGACTACTGCAGTCAGGAGGAGGGAGAAATGACACCCACAGCCTCTTCTCATACCAGTTCAGATTCATCCACTCTTGGAATGCAGTTAACATTGCTGCTGGAATAACTGGTGGCTTCTGATTCTGTTGAGTAAATCTGGATTTTAGTCCAAACTTTAAAAAAGCTATCCAAGGTGCCCAACCCTGTTCCCAATCAAGTTTCAGCATTTTGATTTAAGTTCAAGCTAAAAAGAGATCAGATTTGCCAGACCTCTGACAAGAGAAAAACCAGACATCACAAGGCTCAACAAGCAACTAAGAATGACAAAAAGTCCTACATATTAGGACAGCTAGCTACATACACTAGCTGTACCCGCCACAACATTGCTGTGGCCAACCTTCCCTCTTTCTCTCCTTCTTTCCCTCCTTCCTTACGGTCTTTCCTTCTCTTCCTCTTTCCTTCCTTTTCTTTCTCTTCTGCTGTCTATCTTTTCTTCTCTCTTTCCTTCTTTCCTTCCCTCCCTCTTTCTCTACATCTCCCCCTTCCTTCGCTCCCTCTTTCCTTCCTTCCCTCTTTTTCTTTCTCTCCTTCTCTACCTCTTTCCTTCTTCCCCCTTTTTCTTTCCCTCCCTCTTTCTCTCCTTTCTTCCTTCTCTACCTCTTTCCTTCCTTCTCTCTTTGGTTCCATGCTTCCTTCTCCCTTTCCTTCTTTCTTTCCCTCCTTCCTTCCTTCCTTCCTTCTTTCTTTCTTTCTTTCTTTCTTTCTTTCTTTCTTTCTTTCTTTCTTTCTCCCCTTCCCTCCCTCTTTCTTCCCTTTTTTCTGTATTGTCATTTAGTTTTTGGGGGCTTTTTAAGTCCCTTCTGCTGTGTTTTTCAGTGTTTTTATGAGTTAAGGGCATACATTTGGTTGTTAGGTGTATTGTGACCAAATTTGGTGTCAATTCCCCCAGTGGTTTTTGAGTTCTGTTAATCCCACAAACAAACATTACATTTTTATTTATATAGATTAAGTGCTTCAAGGAAATGGAAATGTGAGTTTTAATATAAATAGAAGAAATATCAAATAGAAAAGTCTCACTATGGTAAAGCCCTGGGCGGAAGGTGGCATAAATCAGCAATAGACAGTATGTGGCCCTCCAGAAATGTTAAAATTACAATTCCCATCATTTGTAGCCAGCATAGGTAAAGGTAAAGGTTTCCCCTAGACATTATGTCTAGCAGTGTCTGATTCTGGGGAGTGATGCTTATCTCCATTTCTAAGCTGAAGAGCCGGCGTTGTCTGTAGACACCTCTATGGCCATGTGGCTGGCATGATTGCATAGAGCACTGTTACATTCCCGCTGGAGCAGTACCTATTCATCTACTCACATTTGCACATTTTCAAACTGCTAGGTTAGTAGAAGCTGGGGCTAACAGCGGGAGCTCACCCCACACCCCAGACTTGAAGCACCAACCTTTCAGTCAGCAAGTTCAGTAGCTCAGCAGTTTAACCCACTGCACCACTGGGGGGGGGGGGGGCTAGCCAGCATAGCCAATAACAAATGACTGTGGTAGTTATACTTCAACAGCATTCTGGAGTGACATGTTTCACATTGGTACCTTTTGTATTATCATAACAGAACTTTGCCCCCTTTCCTGCACTACTGCATTCTGTCACCAACAAAGATAAGAGGTTTGATAAAGATGGCTACCAAGGGGACCATGTATGCAAAAAATGAAGGGGCAAGACATTGAAACATAGTATCTATGAAAATATTAGGTCCATTCATAATGTTTGCAATGCTTTCTCTGCACAACAAGCAGGAAGAAATACAGGAGTTAAATGACATAATTAACCATTTTCTTTAGCCACAGTGATTTAATGGTCACAAAATCTTTCTGATTGTCCTCAGAACAAATGTAAAAGTGAGTACAAGATTGACAAAATGACCCCCTACAGAATATTAAGGGTTTTACTTCTCCAAACTCAAAGATTATGCCCCCTCTCCCCAGAAGTCATTGTGGCCTCTCTAGATCCTTCAATGTAATTTTATGGTATCCTTCCAACCCAAGTATAGTGCAACTATAGAGTGTGCTATTATCCACAGTTTTGAATATACACAGGGGGCTTGGAATGTATACCCCATAC